CAGAGAAAAGGCGCTGTACTCGTTTTCAGAAGGAGGTGGATTTTTCTGCTAATAAAGGCATCAACCAATCACGTTGTAAATACGCCCTGGTGGACACTAGAGAGAATGCAGCTTTAAGATATGAAGCATCGACTTCACTTTTCAGAACTGGAGGTTGACGCCTGCAGATGAACCAAGAGGGCAAACTTTATTACTCCTTTCAACCTTTACAAAGGCAGCGCAGACCAGATCCACTTCTGTTCTTGAAGATCAGATCTCATCCAGCAGCTTTAATGAGTTGTGAGTCGTGAACCCACCTGTGTTCTGATCTCTCTGTGTGTGTTTGCAGGTGATGTCTTTTGTGGCCACTCTGCTCTACTTCCTGCACACCATCTTCTCCGCCATTCGATGGAAGAGGTCCTAAAAAAACCAAAACATAAACCAAGAAGAAGACCAAAAGGAGAAGAAACCAAGCTGACCAGCCGACTGGAACACCTTTTGTGTTTGTGCTCTTTCTTGATGTTCTCAGCAGGACTCAGTTGAATGAGTATTGATGCATGTTGATTGTTCTGGTTAACGAGGTCGGCCTGAACATTATTACCCCAGAATTCACTCTTTTCTTAATCCGGAAGGCAGCAGTTTGGTGACAAGAACCTGTTCAAGTTCAAATTTGTCACAAATAAAATATATCGTACAGAGTACAAGGAAGGCCAATGAGTGTAAATAACTAACTCAAGCTATAGGAGCAGGTACTACATCATGATGTACATCTAACGTTTTTTACTCTCACTGTATTTTTTATTACCAAACAAGAGAAACATCTTAAATGTTCAGTTTACCCAAAATACCAAAAACAAAACACAGCGAGACTGTTTCTGAGGCAGCGCGTAGTTACAATAAACATCGTTCACAGATTGTTTTCGGAAGATTAATCACAGTAACGAGGACACATTCTTAAATCTGTCAGCAACAAACATAAGATTGGCCACTAATGCACAAAATCTGCATCAAAACAGCCTCAAGCAACACGTCTGTGTGGCATCAACACGAGTATTTGTCTTCAGTGGCTCAGGTGTGACCTCTGACTGAACATCAGGTAACATCAGTGGAGCGCCACTTTAAACATTATTGACTTGATAAACTAGAGAACGTTCTGTGGCGTCATTCATTGGTTACTTTACTCTGCAGGTAAAATGACCAATGACCCCAAAACACCTGTTGTGTTTCTTAAAGTACACAATCCTCTTACAGATGCAGTGAACATTTCTAGAAATCAAAGTAACATTAAAGCTTTTCATAAACATTCAGCAGCGATGGTTCATTTAATAAATCATCTTTGGAGGTTTGCACCATTAAAGAAAAACAGAAACCTGGAATACTTCAAAGCCTTTACTTCCTGTTTGTGTTCTCCGTGTTTACGATGAACAAAAGACGACTTTCTCTCGTTTTACTCAGTTACACAAGTTGTTTTTGTTCTTTCCTGAAAGGCTCAGATTCACTGCATGAATGGATGTTTCCACATGAGTTATTATTTTCATTTGGGATGTAAATATTTAAATTGTTTCCTTTTGCAGCTGTTTTTGGATTCTCCGATATTAAATAAATGAATTGGGCGTTCAAACGTGGTTTGTTCAGACTTTTCTTTTCACCTCAGAGAGTCAGCGCGTCCAAGACGATCAACACGTTAAACTCTTCTGCACCGCGAAACGATTCAGAGACACAAGAAGCCGTTTCACCTGTTTATCATTTAGATATTTAGATTCTCTCCATTCTATATCACATTCCTGTAATGGTCCTTTAAAGGAGGACAAAGAAGAATTCAACAGAACTTAGAGTTGTATATTATGTATACTATGTATACTATGTTGAGCTGCTTTATGGTAGTTGCACTTGTAAATCTCAATGTATATTTAAAGGTTTATTCTTCTTCTTGAGTTGTTTCTGCTGCTTCCTGTGACTCACAATCATTACATTACTGACATCGGTCCAATGAAAGCAGAGTAAGTTGAGCTCAAACGTTCTTAAATCAGCGAGCAGACTGAGCGGTTAATCCACCCGTCAGGTGTTAGCTTCACCTTCTGTAGCCTCAGGACACGAGTTCTACATCTGCCATGATGAACAAACATGAGACTGACGAGGTGATACAGTGACTCCACCCTTTAACCATCTCTGCAAGTAAATATTAAAATCTACGGCACATGAACTTGTTGTTTGGGTTTTGCCTTACGGTCAAAAACAACACAGTGAATATCAGTAAGACTCTCACCTTCCTTCTGTTCGGTCGACATCATCTTATGGATTCAGAGCGCATCTCAATACACATTAGAGATTAGCCCCACGTGGGCTATATAAAAAACTTCTGCTCGTTACATGAAGACAGTCGTTTGTACACCTCTGTCTTCACAGTAAACTTTGTTAGGTTTATGAAATATCGTAAAATATTTGCTTATGTTTATGAAAAGATGAATAGTCAGGTGACCATTCTGTGTCTCTCTGCTGGTATTTGACCACGAGTGACATCTTTCACATTTAAAATATGAATTCAAAGTATCTGTGAGGTTGAAGTTGTTGAAATGAAATGTCTTCAGCCATAAAGACGATCATAGATCCTGAAAATAGAAACTCCGATCAGCTCCCGTGTGCAGCAGGAGCTGCAGCGCTCAAAGTTCTCATGGAGATAGTAGAACCTGAGGATTCTGGGTAGTGATGGCTGCCACCACTGCTCAGCCCACGGGGAGCCTGCCCAGCGGGCTGGGGATCTGCACCGCGGCCCCGGATGTCTTCTACCTGCCCGAGCTGGTGAGTGGACAGAGACAAGAGGACGAGGCGAACCCTCCCGTGAAGGGATCAGTTCCATCTTCATCCCTCGTTTAGATTTAAGCTCAAAGACTTTTAAACACAACGAATACTAAAACAAACTCAATGCTTCTTCACTTTGCTTCATTCATTTTGTTCACGTGGTTTTTATCTCAAAAGTCAAACAAGTTCTTTCAAAATGATGGAAAAAATGCATAAAATTAAAATGAATTGGAGTCCTACTGAGGGACAACGTAGACACAGTAAAAAAAAAAAGTGCACTTTATGTTTTATGTTTTATATTTATATAAAGGAGAGGTCAGACAGAGAGAAGTAAAGTTCAGGCGAAGCAGAAACCCACCAACACTCATCTAAAGGAGGAACAATATATATAAATAAAATATAAATGAACATATTTTACATGTTTATAATCATTATAACGTTATAATATGAGTTCTGTGATAACCTCGTGATTAGATGGTCACCGCTAAAGAAATGATCAAATCTAATTTCACCGGTTTGCTGCTAAATGAATACGATGCACGAAGATTAAACTCTAGAAATGTGCATTTTGGAGAAACGGGAGACGGTGACACATTTTGCTCATATGGGAGGAGCATCTTCGTCCTCTCACGTTTCTCTCATGTTGTATTTGTGCCGACTCTTCTTCTTCTCCTTCTTCTTCTTCTTCTTCTTCTTCTTCTTCTTCTTCTTCCTGAACAATGACAAAGATAGAAACTTCTCATGTGACCTCAAGGGTGTTTCAGATCATTAGTGTCTATATGAGAAGACCTGAATGTTCTTCAGTGTTGTGATGAAGATGCAGGTTCCATGTCACCAACGCCCACAACGAGCTGAGAATGTCTACACATTGTAACGACCAAGGCTTTCTTCTTCTTCTTCTTCTTCTTCTTCAGTTAATCTGCTCCAGTTGGAGTCGTGTGATGAGAAGCTGATGATGTCGCTGCTCCTGTAAAACTCATTTTATAAAGAAAAGTAAAGAAGAGAATCTGACACTAAAGTGAAGCGACATCACCTGTTTACAACAGGAGTAGTTTTAATTTGATGCGTTTTCTTTCATCAAACCTAAATTATGAACGCTAAATTGATTAATATGATTTTTGGGGAACGCATGCCTCATGACACGTAGACGGCAGTGATTTAGAGCTGAGTGTTCAGTGTTTCCTTGTGGTTTTACCATCATGTGTATGAAAGGAGCGTGCAGTGACTTCATCAGTGACTCGGGAGCCTGAGCATGTTAGTCACGGTGTTATCTGACTCACTGCACTCAAACCATCCTGTGGCCTGTTTTATCTCAGCCTCTCTTTCCTCTTGAACCGATGCCGAGTGTGTGAGACTCTAGACAAGCTGCTCTCACGGCACAATGAAGTATAACTGGAACGCAGCTGAAACAACATGTAAATGTAAACAGGAAGCTTCTCTCCGTGCATTTGTCTTGCTTGTCATAATGTAACTTATAATAACGGTTGTTTGACGTAATACATCACGACCGACTGCATTCAACGTACCCGTGGTTTGCAGAAACGTGTCAACGTTCCCCCAGAGACTGGGCTGCTCATTGGTGCGACGGTCACGTTCGTGCAGTGATTTAAGTCAAATCACTGTCGGGCAGGTTGTAAAGTGGCAAAAGTAACTCCAGGACCTAAAACATTTACAAAGACTGGGTTATTAAAGTATTATAAAGTATTAAAGTATTATAAAGTATTGAAGACGGGACTTCCAAATGAGCCGGCAGCAAATCAGACAAGAGTTCACGCTGTGATCCACCTGTTCTAAAGGTTGCAAGACGAAGATATCAAGCTTTTAATTTGGTTAAAAGTTTAATTAGACCTCGAGAGGGTGACACGTCTCTTCCTCATCAAATCAACAGAAAGATCACACACGATGAACTCCAGCTGCTTTACACAAGAAACTAAATGAATGGAGCAAGTTACATGAAGTTTGTCAGTGTGACCTTTGATTTCAGGTGATGTGAGACTCCATACATGAACCTGATGTCCATGACTGGAGCTTACATTGGCTTTAAAAGCCTTTTTAAGTTGAAGCTGCGGACGCTCAGAGGTTTCGAGCACTTTGACTTCCAGAGAGTTTGGGCGATGCAGATGTGATCGACACCGAATCTAAAGCCAGCTGAACAGCAGCCAGCTGTGCAGAGAGAGGAAGTGGAGAGTTTGTTCAGTCAGCAGGAGAGAGAAGTGGCTTCTGATGCCTCTCATTCACACACTGCAGAGTTCTAACTGCAGCTTTAAAAAGCGCTCGTGCTGTTTAATCCTTAACCGACAAAACTCTGTTCAAGTCAAAATAATGGTGATCGATGCCGACACGCAGATCAGTTCATGTGACAGAAATAACATCCGTTTACACCGCACAGCTTCCTGGCGATTGTCGTTCCCTTCATCTTCATCATCTTCTGCTAAACGGAGAGAAAGAAAATATTCACGCAGGAGTTCTGGGGAAAATATCTCGACACCTAAAGAGCAGAAAAACGAGAGAATAAAAACACGTTTCTGGAGAATCACTGCTCTCCAAAGAGCCGGACTCTACGCAGCGTGTTGGTGTTGAGATGCTGTCGCAGTGGGACAACGAAGAGGAGATTTAAAGATGGAGAAATAGAAGAGCTTAACCTTTACAACTTCACATCCGTGTAAAAGCATAACTGCAGACTGAAGCAGAGGGGCGGGATCGTAAAACACTCGGTTATGTTGATGAAGAGATGAATGGTCAGGTGACCACGAGTTTGGTTTGAACAATAAACAGTGAAAGTATTGTGGAGGCTGGACTTTACCTTTCTACACTGTGATGAGGTCTACAACGCTCTCTTTAAGCTCGACCACAAACAAGAAGGTACGCGTCCACCTGTTCGGTGGTTTGGATCCTGGTGGCGTCGACCTACGTGGACCCACCGAACCCTCTGGGCCGGGTGACGTTCGTCTCCGTCTTCTGCTTCGTCGGGACATTCCTCTGGACGGAGGTCATAAGAACCTCTCCGGCTGGGCTGCTGCTGTAAGACCAGAGAGAGAAACGGATCGGAACGATGCAGGAAGGAACGCAGAGAACGAGTGATGTCATTTCATCTGTGTGTCCAGGACGTTGCCTGGCAGCCTTCTTCTACCTCATGCAGGCGTGGATCTGGCTTACATCACCTTCCAGAAGAACCCCGCAGACTTAAAGATCTACCACATCGACATCGCTGCTGTGGTGAGAACTGACCTGAAGACAATCAACAACTGAATTGACTGAAAAACACTGTTTTCTGAATGAACCGCGCACTCAGCCGTTACAGAGCAGAGCCGTACTTCACTGAAGTAAGACTGACAATCATTGATAATGTAGCATAGCTCAGTCAACGCTAGCCATGCTGACGTCAGAAACAGCTGAGAGGGTTTAGCTTCATGTCAGGTCAAATTCTTGTTTTTGTCAACGGAGTCTGGTGTCGAGCGGCTGTGGACATTTTACTGTTTGACTTTTCTTTTTTCTTATTTCCTTAAAAAAATGGCAACGTGTTGACATGCTAAAATAGCACAAGTTTAAAGGAACAATTCAACATTTTGTTTAATTTGCTTTCTTAACTGAGAGCAATGGGAGAAGATTGATACCAGATTGATAAATATAAAGCTACAGCTAGTTAGCTTAGCTTAGCATAAAGAGTGGGAACAGGGAGGAACAGCTAGCCTAGCTATGCTCAAAGGTAACACCCACCAGTCCTCTGAATCTCTTATCTTATTAACACGTTATATCTGGTTCTGTTTGCTTAATCTGTACATGAGTCCAGGAAGTGTTTTCTGGACTGACAACAAGCTTAGTGAGCTTTAGAGGTGCTGGTAGGTGGATCTCAGCCAGACAGCTGCTTCCCTGTTTCCAGTCTTTATGCTAAGCTAAGCTAACTGGCTGCCTGCTTCATACCCATTGACAGACCGCTATCGATCTTCTTAACTATCCATCAGAAAGAAAGCTAACAGCCTCAGCATGTTTCCCCAAATGTCAAACTATTCCATTTTAAAAACAACAATAACTCCATAACAATGTATATAAATGTGTGTGTGTGTGTGTGTGTGTGTGTGTGTGTGTGTGTGTCTTACAGGTCTTCGCATATGTTGCCACACTCTTCTACTTCATCCACACCATCCTCTCCTCCATCCGATGGAAAAACTTCTGAAAAATGAATCACAGACCTGAGTGTGTGTGTGTGTGTGTGTGTGTGAGTGTGTGTGTGTGTGTGTGTGTGTGTGTGTGTGTGTGTCTGTGTGTGTGTGTGTGTGTGGATCAGATTCATAATGAAGGTTTTAGACTCAATTACATTTTTTTAAAATTTTAATCTTTAAATTTAGATTTAAAAAATGAAATCAATAATTTAAAGAAATTGGTAAAAGTGATGTCATTTCTTTATGGACTACTTGCTCAACATATACGTAAATACACACACACACTTTTTTAAGCACATCTCATTCTGAGCCACTGATCTTTAGAACATGTGTGAGTGTTCAGGGAGCTGCTGGTCTGTGGGTCCGTGTTTCTTCTGCTTCCCGTCTGAAATAAATGAAGTTTAAAACCTTTAAACCTTTATTACGCGCTCTGCTCTTACACACAGCCGTCGCTCTCTTCCCTTTGTTCACTGACAGGCTTGTGTTTCTCTGCAGTAGCTTTAAAGTTGTGAAATACTTTTCACTGATCTTTACATTTCTTTTAATGATCTTTTCTTTGTGATATAGATTCAAAGCTTTAACCAATCGTCACTTAAAGGAGGATGAAGTGTATTTTCAGCTACTTGGTCTAAATTTGTAGTTTTTTTTCCACTTTTGTGTTCTCAGATTAAAACAAGATATAAATGTAAACACAGCTGAGTCCTGGTTCTCTTTACTTCCTCTGAAACTATTCATCTGATCCACTCTGATTTATTTTGATCTTCACATGTGCACTTTCTGCTCAATAAATTCAAACTGCTGCAAGAACACCTGCAACCTACAGAGTTGTTAGTGCAGTCAGTCAGGGAACAGTTAGTACTTATAGAGAAAGATATCACGATCTTAAACATCACCAATAAGTGCAGAGCGCTGTAGAGTACAAAAACACAACATTCTTCATGCAGAAGCATACCGGTCCATCAGAACATTCTGCAGACATGAGCTCCAGTGGCGCAATCGGTCAGCGCGCGGTACTTATAAGACAGTACACTGTAGAGTCATGCCGAGGTTGTGAGTTCAAGCCTCACCTGGAGCATTTATAGAGTTTGACGGATTAATATGTATTCAGCCTCCATCAATGGACAGCAACAGACAGTAAACACGAGATGAAGATCACCAGAGGCTCTGTGGTGTTACTGGATGTTTGTAGCTTCCTGCTTCCTGCTGGTGGAGATGCTGCAGAGCTTTTATTGGTATTATAGGTAGTATACTATTTGTATACTATTATATACTATTATACTATTTGTAGAAATAGATTCAGTGGTGACTGTGTTGGATTGTTTCAGACGTGAGTGATCGAAACATGTCCAATAACTCCAGAGCAGCATTCAGTAGCAAAGACAGATGTAATCATTGACCTGTGTTTAAAGCATGAAGTTAAAAAGCTTGAAACAAAGCTTCCACCTATTCTGGACATCTCTAGAATGATCTTATATTGGAGAGATTCATGTTGTGCTTACTGATTAGAAGATACTCTGGTTACTACTGAAGGTAGCAGCTGCTTTACAACACAAGTAATATTAACACTCTGTTATCCACCAAACTATGTAAAGGCTCCAGGTGAGGCTTGAACTCACAACCTCGGCATGACTCTACAGTGTACTGTCTTATAAGTACCGCGCGCTGACCGATTGCGCCACTGGAGCTCATGTCTGCAGAATATGATGTATATGTATATGTTATTATATTATCTAACGGAATATTCTGCTTCAATCCATATTTGTTGGCATTTAGTTTTTCAAAGACATTTTCACTGTAAAAAACTGTTTGCTTCTCCATTTCTCCAAAACAGTTAAACAGTTAAACTAAACTTTGGACAAACACTTCAGTGTGGTCTAAGCTAACCCAACGTCATCACAGGTTCAGATTCATTATTATATGTAATAAAACATAGAAATAAGCTCCAGTGGCGCAATCGGTCAGCGCACGGTACTTATAAGACAGTACACTGTAGAGTCATGCTGAGGTTGTGAGTTCAAGCCTCACCTGGAGCATTTATAGAGTTTGATGGATAACATAGTGTTAATATTACCTGTGTTTATAGCATGGAGTTATTTTCAGTACACGTTTAAACTGCTGACATAATGGGTTATTTGCAACACAGTCAGGTTATAAAACATAGTTTTTTGTAACTAGTTAAAGTAAAATGTGGTCTGAAGCTAATCCACTCCTTTCTCTAGATCCATAGTTGTTGCACAGACGAGAGTGGTTTTAATGTTATCATCATACGATTCCTCTAAACAGAAAGGAATAAGAGATGAAACTCTGATTGGTTCAATCAATTTAACAAATTCCCTCACTGTTGCAGATGTTATCACTCTGGGACTAATTGAGGAAAATGTTACCTTATCTTATCTTACAGCCAAAGCACACCTGTGATTAAATACAACCTCTTTGTGCGTTACTTTGTGTCAGATTATGCAGCATTTAACAAGCACAAGAGGAGCTAAAAACACACTTGTGCGTCACAAATAGTGAGCGACTAACGAGGAAGTGAGAACAGGTGAGCAGGAGGTCAGGTGACTGCAGGGCTAACGAGGGACAGGTGAAGCTAATCAGGGCGGGGCAGACAATAAGAACAGGCGGGAAAACACACAAAGACAGGAAGTGAAGTGAAGCGAGAGGAGAGGTGAGTAACAAAATAAAACAGGAAACACTAAACATGAGCTAAGAGCAGAGAACATCATGAGGAGCAGAATGTGAACATGTTGGAAGCTTTCACACTTTGTAGTGAAATCAGAGACACACAGGAGTGTTTATCCTGATACAGAATCACAGCAGCAGCAACGTCACACACACCCAACGTCATCACAGGTTCAGATTCATTATCATATGTAAGGCACACAGACATGAGCTCCAGTGGCGCAATCGGTCAGCGCACGGTACTTATAAGACAGTACACTGTAGAGTCATGCCGAGGTTGTGAGTTCAAGCCTCACCTGGAGCATTTACATAGTTTGACGGATTAATATGTTTAATGCATGGCGTTATTGTCTTCAACACTTCCTCCACTGAAGAAGCAACACTTCAACTTGTGGAAGAACTCATTTCTTTCTTGGTTGTTTCCCTTCAGGTCTGGTTGCCTCGACTATTTGGGCTAAAACTTTAAACAAGGTGCAAATCTAAACCTGAACCTCTCAAGTCCCAGAGAGGTGAAATACTTGTTGCTCATTGTTGGTCCAGACAGGAAGTTCATCAGGTACAACATGCTTCATTCAATGCTTTAGAGACACAAAAGGGACGAATCACACGTTTTTACAGATCTGAACTTTATGACATCACTACATTTAGCAACAGTTGAAGGTGGAAGAGGAAGTTCTATAGAAAACAACATTGATGACGTTAACATTGTGTCACTGTCGGCCTTCACTGGGTGCATTATGTCAACATGTAACACGTCTTTGGATGACAAAACAATCTCAATCCACCACATTTGGAGAACAAACGTTCTTATTTCCCACATATTTTCGGCCCTCCGGCCTCCATCATCGCCCGTCTCGTGGTCCGCACTCTCCCACTCTACCAGATGGTGCGTTTCACACCCGCCCAGATCGAGCGTTTGATTCCCTGCGCGGCCCGCACGTCGTCCCAGTTGAGCCGGGTGTTGGGTATCTCGTCCCGGGGCTCCGGCTCGGGTCGGGCCCCGTCTCTGGGACTCGCCACCACCACGGGCAGAGGGCCCCGCTGAGACTGGTACTCCACCACGTGGAGCTGCTTCTTGTCGGCCAGCTTCTGGTGGATCTCCTGCCGGTGTGGAAGAAGAAAGCGGACGTTAGTGGAGAGAGGAAGAGAAACCGATCCTCCCTGTATTTCCTGTTTAAAACTCTCCCGCTAGGCCCTCACCTGATTGGCTAACCCGGTGAAGAGGGCCCTGGTGATGTTGAGCAGGTTGACCGATCCCTCCACTTTGCAGTAAATGTCCTTGATGCCGATCAGCCTGCACAGAGTGATGACGGCGCGGTGGCAGTGCAGACCGTAGCCTGCAGACACACAAGACATATCAAACGTGTAGAGCATGCAGAGCCTTCTATCGGGGTCCATGTCACAATACATCATAACGTGATGCAGTAAATTCATCTGGGAATGTTGCACATACAATAAAAACTAAAAAATGTCTCAATCATGCAGGAAAATAGAGACTAAACATTTAACGCCCGTCCAACCTCTTCTTAGGAGAACCTAAGTAAACTGATATTTATGTGATTAATGTGACATTAATGTGACATCACAGAGGAGAACTTTAATACACGTTTTATGTTTCTATTTTTAACAATTATAAACACTTAACAGGCTTCTTCTTGGTGAAATGCAGTGCTTTCTTGTGACCTACAGATTTTATTAATTAATAATCAGCAGGTTACGTGTGAAAATGTGAAATTTGAAATACACAAGTAAGCATTTGATTCAGCATTTATAAATACAGATGTTTAAAATATCATCACGACTATCTTTTAATATTATTTCCCTCTTGTCTTGTTTTTCAGGAATCTTCTTGGAAGTGATTTGGAGTCAGAGCTGCAGATGAAGTCTAATAAATGTTTATGATCTTTATTCTGTTAACTAAAGAGATTTAAAGGAGACGCACCGTCGTTCTGTTTCTTCATGCAGAGCGTCGTCCTCTTGAACTTTGACTGGATGTCGTGATAAACTGTTTAAGAGAAAAACAATAACTGGATTATAATCAAAGCATGTGGACAAAGTAGAAATAGAGAACAATTCAATTCAAAACAACTTTATTAATCCACCGAGGGAGAAACACAGAAACAATTCACCACCAAACACGTGACGGCAGACCAGAAACATACGGAGCATTTAAGAGTCAGATTGATTATAAATATTATTATTAAGTATTATTTACAATTATTCTCTTTTTCTCCCTCTTAATAATAGTATTTTTTGTGTAAATGTGTATATGAAGGAATGTGTATGCATGCGTATACTGTACATACATATATATATATAAATAAAGGTTGTATTGCAGATGGCGGTTAGTTTACGTCCTGATGGCAGCGGAGAGAAGAAGAAGAACATGTTTGCTGCTTTCTGGAGGATTTGTTGGTTGCAGCAATAATTCAACAACCGAACCGACTCACGACAAACACACTCGATTGTTCCAACAGTAGTCTGGTTATGTTCTCGTGTTGTGCATCTTGTTTTCCTCCCTCAGGTCAGGTGTTTCTCTACCTGTCCACCAGATGTCCAGCGCCTCCTGCTGCTCGTTACTCATTCAGACAGTCACAACGAAGCCTGAGGGAAGTCTTCAGCCTCGTAGCTGGAGGTTAACTTCCTGTTAGTTGTGTCGCACCACTGCTGTCTGTCTGTCTGTGTCTGATGTGTGTCTGATGTGTGTCTGATGTGTGTCTGATGCCTGTCCGATGCGTGTCCGATGCGTGTCCGATGCGTGTCCGATGTCTGTCCGATGCGTGTCCGATGTCTGTCTGATGTGTGTCTGATGTCTCCTCCAGACATCCCGTTAGCATCTAATGAGCTTCATGAGGTCGGTGTAACACAGAGGAAGAGAGGCAGCAAAAGAAGAAGAAAAAGTGGAGCTCGGAGGATTCTTCCTGCTGGGTGAAGAGATCTAAATGACACACGCACACGCACACACACACACACACACACACACACACTCACTCACTCACTCACTCACTCACTCACTCACTCACTCACTCAC